AAATTGTTTTATAGTATGCCAATACCATATACATAGTTTGATAAATCTACATTCACATTTTAGATATTTGGTACTGGTATAATCTGGCTTTGATTGTCTTTTTCGAATACTTTAAAACTACTAGGAAAATATTGTAGGAAAATTCTAAAATGGTTTTTCCAAAAGGGTTGAATATTTTTGTGTTTGGGCCACTTTTCATGACCACATGAAGTATGTGTCTTGACTCCCACGCTTGTATACTCCAAGTTAGCTAACCCAGGATGATTCCTGATGAGTACAGGACTCACCTTTCCTCATTAAGATTTAGACTGAATGTATTCACCATCTGTATTGTCGTAATTTCCACATTTCTAATCACTGATATCTGAAGGTAAGTTAAAACTTATGTTCAGATAGGTGTAGATACTGCCTAAATGGCCTTTTATCCATTCTTTTCTTTGAACAATCATACAAATCATGAAAAATCTCGAAAACTCATCATAAATGCCAACGTTATATGTTTTATTTTTTAATCAAGTAATTTTTTAAACCTCAAAATATCCATAATTGACAGAATAAGACATTAGGCATGAAGTGAGAATATAAAATCCATGGTCTGCAGAAAGGCAAACAGTACTCCAGTCCATCAAGATGACTGTACATGAGTGAAATGCCATTCCGAACATCTACTCCTTTTTTGTCCTTTAAAAACATATAGTTCAAGTGTTTTTTTATTTTCACTTGTAAACAACATGAGCCAAAATGGACAATGAGGTAATCTAATTACTACACAGGATAATTTAAAAACACTAGATAAAACACCATATTAAAGACATATAGAAATCAGTGTTCACTTTGGTCTCTAGTATGGTTAGAGTTGTTAATACCAAAAAGCAACACACACTAATTAAAGCCAGCTTGGTGGTGGGTGCCAGTGGTTGATAGACACTAAGTAATTCAAGAGGTAGTCAACACCATCATTTTCAAGCTGGTAACACTCAGAGGTGTTAAGCCACAGATGTATTAAATATTGTAATAGTTTGTCACAGTACAGTACTTTACCATAACTTCGCAGCTTTGTTCCAAATATAAAATTTAAGAAAGATTCATAGGTCAACCTCTCACGCTAACTGAACAACTATGACACAGATCACAGAACCACCACTCTTAAAGAGGCTGCTGACAGCTATGTAAGACAGAACTTGAGGCTTTTCACGAGTTGTTCTTTTCTAAAACAAATAAATCTCATTAAGACATCTAGAAAATTAAAGTCAGTGCAGCTGCACTTGTACACACTTTCCCAAATTTTATAACTGAAGGGGAAATACACATATATATTTTATGATAAACATTTCTTAGAGAAAACAGATAAATTAATTTAAATTAACTTTAAGACTTAATGAGATTTCCCATGTCCTGTATAATTCATCTTACAGTGAATGTTACAAAGTCTATTAACACTTATGGGCTTTTATTCACAAACTAAATACAACTAGCAGTAACTTGGGGCCACACTGGTGCAAAATAAAACTGGGCCAGAATATCTTAAAATATTGGCATTAAAACATCCTATGTTTATAGATGGATCGATGTTAATACCGTGATGTTTCTTGATCTTTTTCCCTACATTGCACGCCAAACTTCCAAGTTATAAGCAGGTAAAAATCTTTTAAAATGTTTTAGTTGTAAAAATACATCCAAAGTCTTCGAGTAAATACTAGAAATGCAAGTATAAAAAGGTTTCTACTATAATCTGCCATGTAGTGATGAATAGCTCCCAGGGCTAAGAGACGGGCAGAGCATCTTTCTTAGGAATTACACTTGTGTTGACATGGGGGTGAGATCAAGGGGCAACTAGTTCACACACCTCCTGCCCAACCCATTAGTAACCCCCGTAAACCGATGCTTCACACAGATCCTTCTCCTCAGTAGCTAGAAATGGCATTGCACCTTTACTCTATGTTCACTCCTTGGCAAGCCAGTGCTAGTTAGTTATGTGCCTAGGGCAATAATGCTGAACTACGCTTGGCCTCAGGGCAGCATGGACACACAAATGGAGATTGGCATCCTTTATACTTTTGCCCAGCATGAATTCACTCATACACCAACCTCTTCTCCTTCCTGCCCTTCACCTCTGGGCAGAGCAGCTATTTCCAAGATTGCCTCTGTGTTTTGTTTTGCTTAAGTGGAAGGGTGCCCATAAGTCTTTAAATTAAATACCTGATAACTTTAAAGAAATGCTTGGAGACTTTGCTAACTAAATGAGATGTGTCCTCATTCACAAGTGTTTGTTAGAAACATAGAGTTGTGAATTGCTATCTACAATACAGATTAAAAGGTTCTGTACCAGAAGATATCAGCCTCTGTATGGCTGGAGCAGCACAAAGGTGAGCTATGCATCAACTATGAGGTAGCCTTTTGCTGTAAACAGAATATTTCACCCATGTAAATGGACATGTGCTCACATCAGTGATATTCACATATGCAAGGAGCTTGGGAATTTTGCTTTAGCATACTTTTCACAGGAAATAAAAATAGGAAAACGGATATCTGATATTTGGAAACTGTGATCAAACTCAGAGGTAGTTATGACTAACATCAGTACATAATACTTATACAAAGGTCTAAGTTATTTGGTTTGTTTTGAGTAAGCAGGACTGTAGACTATTCTGGAAAGAAACAACAACATTATATGGTATGTTCCCTGAGCAAAGTTCTTTGTCCTGAGTATGTTATGTAATAGTGATAATATTTTTATATAAAAAATAAACCCCAGCTTTTAATCATAAGATAGGTTTGGTATGTGCTCTTAGTTCAGTCTGGTAAGATGCTTAAAATGATTTTAAATTGCACCCATAAGGTCCAGTTATAAAATGCTTTTCTTTTTTTTTTTTAACCAAGATCTTAGCTCTGAACTTTTTATATGTAAACAGGGAATGTCCAATTCTCAAGTCCATAACTTCCTATGTCTATAAGGTCAAGGAACTTTGGTTTGAATTTTCAAAGTGACTTATTATGTTTTGCATTTTTACTGTTAAACCTGCTTATTTTGCCTGCTAAAAATTAAGCAATGCCACTTTGATTTGTCTACATAATTTAAATAAGCTTACAATCCTCACATAAGGCAAGGAAGTACTTCTCTATAGCTATTTATCACATTCAATATCGTCAAAGGTAAGCTTTGCATCACAGCACGTGGATATTCCAGAATACACCGTGGAGAGTCTCACAAACACTGTCCCAGAATTCAAGCTGAGAGATAAAGGGCTGGCGGCCCAGCCGGAGGCATTTCCTCGGAGGCATTTGCTCCTGATGGGGGCTTGCTCAAACCGCAGGAACTGCCTACGTTGGGGAAGGAGCAGAAGCTGCTCGGCAGAATGGATGTCATTTGACTCATGCTCTTGTCTTCTTCTGATTATCTGAGCTTACACCAACAGGCTCACACACAATGTTGTCTATTGCCAATGTTAAGCATTATAACTAATCGGTACCTTCTTGGAGATGTTTCAGAAATTTACCCATAACATCTAGAACCAGGAGGACACCAACATTTTTTTTTTTATTTTTTTAAATGACTGAAACCTAAAGGGACCAACATGAGGATTGGTCCCAGGCCAGTTGACTCACATAATTGAGGACCAACCTGAGAAGCGTCTCTATCTCCATTACTGAATGTCCACCCTGAACGCACCATTTCGGTTACTTCAGCATGAGTAATGAAGGGAACCTCTGTCAAATTCACTTTAATGAACGAAATTCTTGTCGCTTCTGGTGGGAGAGGCCCAGCACCTCGGCCCCAGGCCCATCACTCCAGCTGCCTACCACCAAATGCTGCACTTTTCAATATCCTTCACAGGGCAAACGTACTGGGCAATTATGAACACCCACTTAAATTTTCATTCTCAACCTGTGCTGTTTTGTCTTAGAAACAAGTCAGATAACTCTCTTGGGCGGGGGGGGTAATAAAAAACAGCCACAAAAAAAAAAAAAAAAAATTACACCAACGACTGGAGCTTTCCTCCAAAGTCTTCAGTAGTAAACAAGGAGACCCCTGCTCGAAGCGATGGTTTGGACTGACTTCGTCAAGGGAAGCTGCTGTTGCCACAACCCCTTCGAAACTTCACAACACATAAAAGATTATAATGAGCTGGTATCAAAATACCACTGAAAACAATCAAGTCACTACATTTCTACATTGCCCTCCCCCTTCATTTTTCTGAATAGGCATCTAATTCACAATCAAAACGTATGAATTAAAAACATGGAAATATCGGCACGGAAATTACACATTCATTGTCTTTTCTGGAGCTCTGTATCCCAGATTCCAAAAAGCTTATGGCAGTCAGAGGCATGTGGAGTTAAGGTACTGCCTTCAAAGGGGGTGGGGGTAGGGAGAAAATACTCTATAGATAACAAGAAAAGGAGGCAATCCCAAACTTGGGAAAACTGATGACGTAAAACCTTTAGTACCATATGATTGGCAGCTCTGAGATCTGAAGTAGCCTTTGGTTCACACAAAAGGTAACAGTCATGTTTTTATTTTAATGTAATATAAAGGGAGTGGTATTTCAAGAAAAAAAAAAAACCTCCAGGGGTTAGCTTTGAAACCATCTAAAATGCTTCCTACGGGTTTTCAATTCTCGGGGCTGTCCAATTCCGTGAGGGAGGGTGTGTGCTTCTATCTATAGACGCACATACATAAAGACAAATCCGCTTTATATATGTGTCTACATTCCTGTATCGATGCCTCCTACACACACACACACACACACTCAGGCTCTCTCCCTCTCACACATGCACATACAGATATACATAGTATTTCATTCTCTGAATAACATAAAACATGACACCCTGCTCAAATGTAATTTGCTTAGAGTGATTTGTCTGTTTAAAAAAATTCACAGTTCCGCAACAGTAGTTAAAAATCCCGTCAGCTGCTGCTGTGAAATACTGCTCCCCTGTACTTGCATGAGGTAGACTTCCCAACCGGGGAAAGAAAACGATACACTTAGGAAGAAGCGTTATGTCTTTTTCCTTTTTTGAACAGAAGGCCCCTTTTTGCTTGGTTCTTCCGGCGCTGCGGAGGACTTCGCCGAGGAAGCTTCTTGAGGGGACCTGCCTGGCCATTCTGAGATCTCGAACCTCGCCTCCTGAGGAAACGGCGGGGACGTGCAGCCATGCCCTCCCCCCAGCTCTCGAGGAAAAGTCGAAGTGCATGGCTGTGCTTCTGCTTCCTGTCTTCCCTGAGAACTGGCGGGCGGCTGCACCACAGTCTTGTGTGGGCAGTTTGCCACCATGTGTGCGATGCTCTGACAGTAATGGCACTTCTTTGGCTGAGGAGGTAGACTACATTCCTTAGCATGATGATCAAGGCCACCACAGTTGTAGCATCTGCAACAAGAACAGCGGAAACGTCTCAGCAGCGGGGAGCAAGTGTCATAAAATGTGTTACAAATTAAAAAAAAAAAATACAAACTGACGATGAGATCAGCCTGTTTTAATGTGCCCTCTTAATAAGTATGTAATGGGGACGCCTGGGTGGCTCAGTTGGTTAAGCAGCTGCTTTCGGCTCAGGTCATGATCCCAGCGTCCTGGGATCGAGTCCCGCATCGGGCTCCTTGCTCAGCGGGGAGCCTGCTTCTCCCTCTGCCTCTGCCTGCCATTCTGTCTGCCTGCGCTCGCTCTCTCTCCCTCTCTCTCTCTGACAAATGAATGAAATCTTAAAAAAAAAAAAAATAAGTATGTAATGTGCTATTTTTAAAAAAGATTTTATTTATTTATCAGAAAGACAGAGAGAGACCGCACAAGCAGGGGGAGCAGCAGGCAGAGGGAGAAGCAGGCTTCTCACCGAGCAAGGAGCCCAATGTGGGATCCATCCCAGGACTCTGGGACCAGGACCCAAGCTGAAGGCAGACGCTTAACCCACGGAGCCACCCAGGCATCCCTGAAATGCTGTGTGCTTCCAAGACCATCTCACCAAAATGCTCTCACAAAGTTATAAAGCTATTTGTGCTAAACACAACAGTCAATGAAAAACAAGAGTACTAAAACATGAAACACTAGTCACTTCCACAGAGAAATGACCTTATTTTAAAGACTTGACAGGTTCTTTTAAGAGAACAGTGTAGTCCACTAGAGGGCAGCCAATGTTCAGCAAAAAACCACCAGCTCGCTTTAAAAAGAAGCCCTTTAAAAAAACAAAGCTGTTGTAACATAGAAATACACACTGGGAATGCACTTCGCAATTGAGAAAATTATAGACCAAATTAAATTTCATTTCTTTAACAGTTCTTTGCGTGTTAACTATGTTGACTGTGGAAACCAGATGAACTGAAAGAATTTTTATCCTTTGTACAAATTAAGTAATGAAGAGAAATTTGATATATAAGAAGTCCGATGTCTTTGGTGAGTGATATCTGGAAAATTACCAAGTAATTTTAAAGCAATACAGTAAGTATTTGAATCAGAGGAAGCTATAAAAGAAAGCTTCTAAATTCTGGGAAGAATTTATTTTCTTTTCCCTCTGTAAGAAATTAGTTTTCCTTTCAGGTAACTTCTTTTAAATTGAAATAAATCTAAATCTACCCTTAATTAGTATTTGAATGCAGACTGGGGGCATGGCTTTGTGTGAGATGTCCAAAAATCTGACTTTGTTTCTAAAAGCTGAACAAGTAAATTATTTGAGAGATATATTTGCTCAAATTTAGTCAGATTTTCTTTGAAAATTTTACATTCAAAACAAGCAGAGAAAATAATATTGTATACTTACAAAGGTTTTTAGTCTACTTGTTGAGTATAGAATGTTCTTGTTTTGTCTCCAAATGAAATTTTTTAAGAGTTTTCTGTTTTAAATTTATTTCCAAATACATTTATGAATCTGTAATTCTTAATATGAAGCACAGACGACAGGTCACAACATTTTTTTAAAAGATAACAAAAAAGTAATACCAGTGAGCATCAATTTAAGACTATAATGACAAAAATTAATTATAATTATGTATGTATGTGTGAGAGAGAGGGAGAGAACAGCAAGTTTAACAACTTATACTACCATATATTTCAAAGACAAATGACTAAACTACTAACCAACCGAGCAGTATATGTAGGACAATTAGTATTCTGTTTTCTGGGTCAACGTATGAAGAATATTTTGTTGTTATGTGTTTTGTTTAGTTTTTACCAAGCAGAAATTAGGGAACCTATGGCCTATTTCTTCAGTTACCAATATTACCTTACAGATCCTAGAATAATGGATTCACAATGTGGGCTTTTGTTCTTTGTAATAATTAACAAGTATTTATCCCAGGGAAAAGGAATGCATCATATACTTAAAAATTTAAGGGAGGAGCTGAAAATCCACTTTTTCTGATTATTTATTGTGCAATTATATACCTTAATATAATAAATTAATAAAATAATATTACAATCCAGATTCAACACTTTTCAGCCATATATTCTAAGAGATAATGCAAAATTCAAGAATAAAAATTACCAATGAATGGTTGAAATTCGGGTCCCCCAAATAACACCCTCAAAAATGGCATCTTTGAAAAATATAACCGTATTACTTCTCAATAATGTTTTCCCACACAGTTTTCTTCTACCATGGATTAAGTGAATTCTTAAATTAAATTTGCACATCTACAAAATGTCTCCTTTTGAATTTAATTCACTTCCTTGAGGATAACATCCACTCAGGAGCTCATTGTCGAAGAGGAGAAAATAGGTTAAAGCCTTCAGTAATAGAACAGGCTCTCCTGCGGACACATCAATTTCATCCATCACTGTAGTGTGCACAGCGTTATCCAATGCAGGGATCCGTTCTGCCTACTCAATTTACCAAGAGCCTCATGTCAGCATTCCACTTTTACAAATGGGGCCTTCCATCGTATTCTGTATGTGCATTTACCATTACATTTGGGTTTTAAACATCATTTTAAACCCATTGTATAACTTTTTGTTTCCTTGCATCTTGATCTACTCCATTCATTCACTTTCCTAGCTTTTCAGATATGTGTTATCATGAGGCCAGACTGTCTTCCACAGAAAAGATTTGCATTCAGTGGATATGTGCTCAGTCTTAAAAGCAGAGGAGTGGTATTTATTCCCCTCTTCTATTTAATCATTCAGCGTCAATCATGCTTACTAAGAGTGCAGATCACACCCCATTATGAAGCCCTGTCCTTCCCCAGGGACTGATACCAAAATGGAAATGTTCAGCTACCTTTCAGCCCACAAATGATACCACACCACACACCCCGTACAAGCTCTACGTGGTACTTGTTTCCTTTGTTCAGTGTCCACACCTCTCCCAATCAGCTGGCCTTTGTTAGTTTGAATGAATCTTAACATCTGATGTGAGCATAAAAATGGCATGTGTGCCCTTGTATAGTTACATGCTTAAGAAATATAAGGACCCAGACTCACAAGCAAAAGACTACACATGAAAAAAACCATAATCATACTTCATTATACATTCCTATACCCAACAATAGAAAGTAAAATCATACATAGTATTTTACAAAATGACGAACCAATAGCACAAAGGATATTTTACCTATTGAACATAAAGTAAAATAAAAATGTTTAGATTAGTCTCAGAACTTTATCAAGTTCTTTGTAAAATTATAAATACTTTAATTCTAATGAGTTCCACATTCTACAGATATTACTTCTTATTTAAGATGCTTTTGAAGATGGAAAATAACAATAAAAATGGAGCCTATTTTTTAAAAAATTATCAAAATAAGACGAACATTTTTAAATGAAACAATGCCAACAATAGATATAGTAGGATAGAAGCATCTAAAATAGCAAAATAAATACAAGCAAATATTTAGGGCTCGAGAACTATATAATTATGTTATGAAATTAGGGGGGGTCTTAACAAACTAAGCCCAAACAATGACATTACTTAATAAGTTAATCAAACATATGCAAAGTTCTGAGGATTCCCAAACAAAAATGAAAATTCTCATCTTGAAATCAGAATTCAGATCTGCTATGACCCTTTGAAAAATTCTCATTTTTGAGGTCCAAGCTGCAGAACAACTAAATTATGTTTTCAAATGATAATAGTAACAATGATTAGAACTGAGCTCAATTGAAAACCACTAGGTTAGATATGGATGTTAATTTTTTAAATGATACCTCAATGATTTAGATGAAATAATTAATCAATTGTATGTTCTGCCTGGATCTCAAAAGTGATAATAACTTGGGGAGAGGGATGATACTTCACGGAGAGCCAGCTTTGCCTATCTATTTTTTTTTTTAAGATTTTATTTATTTATTTGACAGAGAGAAAGATCATAAATAGGCAGAGAGGCAGGCAAAGAGAGAGGGGGGAGCAGGCTCCCTGCTGAGCAGACAGCCTGATGCGGGGCTCAATCCCAGGACCCTGAGATCATGACCTGAGCTGAAGGCAGAGGTTTAACCCACTGAGCCACCCAAACGCCTCCAGCTTTGCCTATCTAAAAGTGTAATGGGAGTAACAGAAGATAGGCACTTCTAAATATTTGGAAGTGTTAACTTTGTAAGAATTTATATGGAAAATTAAATCTACATTCTGGGGGGCTTGAAGGGGCATTAAGGACAAGGATACAGAGATCTGTAAGCTTCTCAAGAACAAACAAATACTGAGACAACAGTGAGTCAAGTTATTGAGGAGAGAAAATGGAAAAGAGGACATAAAAATCCATGGAAAAGAAAGATGTGAAAAACAATAAAGTTTCCAAGCGGGAGAACAGAAAAGTCACAGATTGTAAAGAATTCCAGAAACCAATTTGGAGAAAGAATAACTCACTCTTTGAAGAGATTGTTTATCAATCCTGATACAGTCCAACTAAAATCCGGAAATGATACTAATGACATTCACGACTACAGTTTTTTTCATTTTATTTTTAAAGATTTACTTATTTTAGAGCGAGGGTGTGAGAGAGTGCGAGTGGGGAGAGGGACAGAGGAAGGAAGAGAGAATCCTTAAGCAGACTCCCTGACGAATGCAGAGCCCCAAGGGGGCTCGATCTTATGACCCTCAGATCATGACCTGAGCCAAAACCAAGAGTCAGATGCTTAACTGACTGAGCCACCCAGGCCCTCCAGTATAGTTTTGGATTTTAATATGACTGACACTTGTTCTCTAATTCAATTGTCTGCCAATCAACCCAGCCACCTGGGAGTGTGAGATGCCAGTGTGGGAGTGGGAGGAGGTGGATGGCAGAAATGCCATCAAAGAACCTAAGAGAGCTAAAGAAAAGGAACAGATCCAGAGAAGCTTTTGATGGAAGCAATCTGCCCACCCCGTACCTCCTGAGGGTCACAGATTCTTCCAGAAGGCCCCATTTTGTTTTGTGTAGCGTCCATACATTCTAAATTTACACCTGGGTATA